CATTATTGTACCTTTGCCTTGGATGTAAAATTGGTTGCTTTTATGGACAAGCGGGCTAACCCAGATTTTGGGGGTTTTCAGAAATTTTGACCTACACCAAAAGTGGGCATGGCCCTACCTATAAGAGAAGTTTGGTTTCAATGGCATGTATATTTGTTTGGCTATAAAGAAAAAATCTCCTTGTTTTTTTTAAAGAAACTGAACAAAGGGCAGAAACTTTATCTTTGATTTTCTCAAAACAGCATTTTTCGAGACAGCTCCCTTGTGCTTAAACGCGACCAATTAGAGAACAGCACAACAGTTGCCTTGAACCAACAAACAAAATCCTCATAATTCTTCTTTTATAGCCATGTTAAAGTGAAAACAAAAAATTACCCGATTGAAGTAGACTGTACAAAGAATGCCTTAAAAAACCTGAAATACTAACCAAAGATTAAACAAAGAAAGACTAGGTCGACACAATACATGTACTGCTTGAATCTAAACATCACAAGAGTACTTTTTTTTAATAGCAAGTTTTTTACGTCACTTGCAACACAATAAGGTCATATAAGTGCCGAAGACTAGAGGATCGACATCTGCGAGGTAGTGAGAGGTAAAAGATCCTCCTCAGAGGAATAATCAGTAGTTTAAATAAGATAAAATCTGGAGGTTGCTGTTGTTGTTTTCAAATCCCTTTAGCTGCAAGCATTTCGCTCCTGGCAGCGCAATGCCTCCCTCAAGTAACCACATGTTCTTGTCATCTGGTCAACGCCAGAGTAGAGCAGGCTTTGTAAGTCTGTAGGTGTGTGTAGGAGCCTGCGTCGAAAAACTGTCAGGTTTGGACAGTGAAGGAGAAGATGTTCAATGGTCTCTTCCTGGTAGTCACAGTGTCTGCAATGGGGTTCCCACATGGGATTAATTCTATTTATGCGCTTGTTGGTGTGTAAGTGTTCTATGCGGGCTCTGAAGATCAATGTCTGATCGGCTCTACATAAGAGATTCGAAGGGTCTTTGGGGTTGGGTTTGTCCATGTATCCAAAGAGAGATCTTCCTGTTTCTGCGTTGGCCCATCTGTTTAGCCACTCGTCTAAAATCAGGAGGTAAAGTCAAGCAAGTAATGCCACCAAGTAGAACCCTTAACAAAGACATTAACACTAACACTGTCCATCCACACAGCACGCAGAGCGCACAACGTTTATCCCCACGGACCAGGTGCGGTACACACTATATCACACCGGCGCCGATCGGCGTACCGAGGGGGCAAAGTGATAAGCATGTGATGTTCACCTGATAGTGCTTATTTAAGCACATTGACTTTTATCTACTGAATATGACAGTATAATATTAGATAATTATACTAATAATTGCATTAATAATTATTATGGCGCATCTCCATGCCCTACAACAGACTCTAAATGCTTTATAACTATTAGAACCCTCAGAAACATTCTCTGCTTCCTACAAAGCATTCATTGCAAAGCTACCATTTTACAGGCACTAAAACGGTGACATACTGACAAGATCGTTAGCTGTTTATGGCCCTGAGCGAGGTGAGGAAATCTCGATTACACTCCCTTTCCTTAGAGCACAATGTTGGACAAAGCGAGCTTCTAACCCCAAACCTGCAGCCTCACGTTTATAAGTCTTTTTGTTTTAGTAGAGGTTTTACGGCGCTTGCAACTGCATAGGGTCATATGAGTGCCAAGGGGAGGATGTCAACAGAGAAGTCCTTACAGGGAATCAGACTTACTCTGCTCACCTCTCTAGCTTCAACAGCACAAAGTCTGCTTCGGCTATCAAGGTACCCAGGAAATAGCGGGTCACAAGAGTGTGACAAACATACAATAGAAGTAGAGGAAAAAATGATGACAGTAAGGATTAAGAAAGAAAAAGCAGCAGTTCGATGTTGCAGTTCAGGCACAGTTATGAGCATGACATTGATGAATCAGCCCAGTTTATGAGTGTGACAGCCTAACCACTAGACTACCAATGCCACAGTATGCACTATATCAAACTCAAAGAATCAACATGCCACGAGTTTACAAAGAAAATTGACAAAATGAGAACCAACAAAACCCAGGTGTCTAAGTCTCCATCAAACAGACACTCACACACACACACACACACACACACACACACACACACACACACACATATATATATATATATATATATATATATATATATATAAAATCTTAGCAAAAACCTTTCACATTTGTAAGACATATTTCAGGCTCGTCACATTAGTGGCATATCACTGAATTACTGCCGCATCATCTGTGTACAAAGTAAAAAGAAAGCACCTAAAAACTTGTGGTCAGTCATTCACTTCATAAAAGGGCTGACCGTTTCTCTGTTCCTCGAGATAGAATGACAATCGAGGGGAAAATCAACACTGCTTTAGCTTTAGTTTTAGTAAGAGTTTTACGGCAATTGCAACACAATAAGGTCATATAAGTGCCGAAGATTAGAGGTGTAACAGGAGAGTAACAAACACACAAAAAGGAGGGGAGAACAGGACGATTGATGTTTCATAGAAAAGAAGAAGCAAACCACACCAGAGCACCCGCCAACCACCCACATAAAGACTGTCTCCTCCCTCTGTCTAAAGTGACTAGAAAAACTATCAGCTCTTTGGTAAAGTTAGAGATGAACTCACACAAGGCACCTACACCAACAAAGCAGTGAGCAGAGGAAGAGTGCAGAACGGTCGGGATTTGTAAATTATTGCAAATGTGTTACATCCCCTCTGACACAATTTAGAACATTTTTCAGTATGGGCTGCTGTTCTGACACAGCCTGTCAAAGTAATTAGTTTGGCCCGCAACTTGGACACGCTTGCCACAAACAAAATAACTTCCCCCATGTGAGGGAAAAAACCCAGGCCAGTGGCAAAAAGGACAAAAATTATATTGCAGAATCCAGCAACAAGCAAGTCTTCAGTAGAAGTATTAATCAATGAAAATGACATGAACGGGAAGAACAAACCACACCTTTCGTTTAGTTTTAGTAGAGGTTTTACAGTGCTCACAATTGCATAAGGTCATATGAACGCCAAGGGGTGGATGTCAACAGAGAAGTCCTTACAGGGAATCCGGCTTACTCTGCTCACTTCTCTAGCTTCAACATTCAACAGCACAAAGTCTGCTTTCAGTATCAAGGCACCCTGGAAATAGCAGGTTACAAGACAGTGACAAACATGCAAAAGAAGTAGAGGAAAAATGACGATAGTAAGGATGAGGAAAGAAAAAGCAGCAGTTCCCAGTGCAATTCCGGCACAGTTATGAGCATGACATTGATGAATCAGCCCATTTACAATTACAATTCTACTGCGCAACAGAACATGGTATCGTCTCCCCTTAGGGAATGGCCTAAAGACACTTCAGTCAGGGGCGCCGCCCCCCGGGGGGTCTAACCACACCTAGCTTTGTGCTCAAAACAACAGAGGAAAAACCAGCAGCTCACATACAAATGTTATCCAGCCATTTATCAGATACAAGTCATTACATTTTTCTTCATTTCTGTCTCAAAATGTCTCAAGCTATAGACACCAAAGAACTCATACCACATGTGCCAGCATCTCAGAATCAAATACATAAGCAAAAATAAAACACACTAAGTAATACTGTACTGTAAGCAAGTGAGAGAATCCCATGAGAAAAAAACCAAACTGCAATGTAATTAATTCAATAACAGATAGCAGTTGTATAGCGCAAAACCCGCTCAACAACAAGCTCTATGCCTTTTACAATCTATACTATTACCTCAGCAAACCTGAGAACATTCTGAAACAACCTCAACCTCCTGGGAAGCATACAGTGCAAGCAGCCATTTATAGGCACTAAAACACAAACATACTGACAAGATCTTTCGCTGTCTATGGCCAGGTACCCATTCCCACCTGGGTGAAGTGAGAAAAATACGTGTAAAGTGCCTTTCCCAAGGACACAACATCGGACCCCCGGCTCGAACCCCCGAACCCACAACCTCACGATTACCTGTCCGGTAGCCTAACCACTAGGCCACAGACGCCATAATTAGTAATTGACTGGGTTCAGCTCCCCTTAACTTCAACACTGTAATGGTGTTTGAGAGTAGAGGCAGGACCTCTGCATTTAATGCCCATTTCCAACAGGACCAAAGCACATGAAGACTACAGGAGAAAAACGACCGTAGTCACAAACTGAAAATTGTGAGGGTACCAAATTTTGAACGCTTGCTGACTCATAACTGTATTTCTGTTCAACTGTTGGTTGATTATTGTTGTTAGATTTCCCATTTAACAACACTTAATAATAAACCACCAGTCAAACAAATATAAAATTACGAGTTCACAAACCGTTAAAATTGGCACCATCACAATTTCCAGCTTGTGACTACAGTCGTTCTGCCTTTGTGCTCTTCAAATGGTAGAGAGCCTTAAAAACTTGCCAGACAACCTTTGACAAAAAACGCCCTGTATGGGATTTGAGCCCAGGTAATCTGCACCATAACCCAGCATAAAGCCAACTGAGTTATCAGATTGCTCTCAGATATAAGTCATCCTTATTTTGACATATATGTACTTAAAATTGTAACTGGATCTGCCATTACCTCAAAATCAAACATCAAATAATAGTAGATTGCATTTATATAGCACTCTATCCCATACTAGTATAAGCTCTGAGCGCTTAATCAGGAGAGGGACCAATGAAACAAAAAAAGTAATGTATTCGACCATCAACAACATGGGCTTTCCACATGGGGATTGATTTGCAAAGTCACGAAACATTCGTCAGATCATATTGTCAGACTCGCTGAAGAATTTGTTGTCACAGCAGAAAATCAATTATAGCAGTAGTAGAGGCAGATAATCTCTTTTATCACAGAATTTGGGGATATGTACAATTTTTTAAAGCACATTTCAGATTAGGCAGAGAAAAATCTGGTTAGGGCAAAAGATATGTGAGGCATTGTGGTGAAAACCGGCGCTCGTCAAAATAATGAAATTAAAGAAAGCAGCATTTTTCTCTGGTTCGGCAATTCGTACAAAATGACCCCAGGGCGTACGGATAGGGTTAAGGATCCCCTATCCAAGATAATCACCTGCACAAATGCCTACCTCCCACTTCCCCCTTTCATTTTTACAATATGTGCTGCGAAGCTATGGAATCAGGCTCTCGGCAATTTTTGGGCATACTCAGTTATTGGAATCATCTTAAAGCTTGTTTGTTTGTCTTGCTTTCAATGAACAAATTACCAATCTATCTTCAATTGAAGGGGAGATATTTTTGGATTGAAGGGGGTGGGGATGACCTGGTTTCAGAGGTAAAATTAGCTAGAAAATGACCGCCAAAGATTGATAACTTTCAAAGCTGGAGAGTCCATGGAAACTGTAAATTTACACTTTTCTGGCTTTAATCAACGGTTTTCGGTAAAAATCCTTACAGGTATTTGTTTCTAAATGAACATAAATGGTGTCAAGCCAAAAAACAAATATTTGATAAAAATTGCTAAGCGAGAAGAAAACTGCTGCATTATTTTGACGAGTGCCTGATCTCACCACTCACATATTACAAAGACAGTCTCCAGGAGGACCACTTGGCTGGAAGACCACTTTTCTCCTTCACAACCGGTGCTTGTTTTGGACAAGTTTTAGTAGAGATTTTACGGCGCTCGCAACTGCATAAGGTCATAGCAGCGCCAGTTGGACAAGTTTGGTTGTATTTGGACAAGACACTTTCAAATATCAAATGATATTTATACGTGTCACAGAGCGGTGGAATCAGGCGCTAGTTTGTTTTGGAGCATATGGAGTTATCGGTATCATCTTAAGGCCTGTACATTCATCTTGCTTTGGGTGAAAAAAAAATATCCATTTGTCTATAATAGAAGTCAAGATATTTGTGAATGAAGGAGGTGGGGGTCACCGGTCCTGGTTTCAGGGGTAAAATTAGTGAGAAAATAGCCGACAAAGATGAGTTATTTCCTTAGCTTGAGAGTCCTTGAAAACTGAAAATGTACATCCTTTATGCCTTTGATGAACGTTTTTCACTAAAATCCACACAGAAATGTGAAAGGCGTTGAGGGAAAAAAAAAATTTGAGAAAAATTCCCAAACCTGTGGAAAAATGCCAGTTTCTTCACTTTCATTATTTTGACGAGCGCCGGATTTCACCACGCTGCCTCACAAATTATCTTTATATCTTTAGCATCTCTAGCAAGAATGTTCGAGAAGGTCCACACAACATTAAGTGAATCTAATTCAGCCAAGAACATGTACTAAAAGCCATCAACCTTTTGACTGACAACTTCAGTCATCATCTCCGATCCAGTCCCAGGGTATACAGATCTGGCCGTCCTGCATGACGGAGTAGTAGTGTGAGACGCGGAGGCGAGAGTCGGCCAGCGAGACGCCGAGTCTCCAATGTTCTTCCACCAGCCGCTTACAGCATGAGATCATCTGTGCGGGTGTCACACTTTCGTCTTTCTTCATGTCCGACACACCCAGGGCATCCATTGCTTCCAGGCGACTTTGCTCCTCCTCCTTCAAAAAGCTAGAGAACAGAAGATGAAAAAGAATTAAAAAATAAGTTTTGAGAGGAGCTTTAGCCAGTTCAAAAAAACAATCTAGCTCACTTAAAATCTAAAAAAAAAAATATTGCCTTTTCTTCAGCATGGTCACACACGTTTCTCCGTTCAAAATGATTTGATCAATATATTTCAAGTGTGACGATGATGATGATGATGATGATGATGATGATGATGATGATGATGATGATGATGATGATGATGATGATGATGAAGATGATAATGATGATGAGAATGATGATGAGAAAGATAATGAAGAGAATAAAGAAGATGAGAATGTTAGTGAAGATGATGATGATAAACTCTTTTTGTACTATCGTCATTCAAAAATCTTCTCAAATCAACAAAAATAACAAGACAGATTAGATCAAAACAACTCATTCAAAAACATCAAAAACCAAGTTGTGGAAGCTTGAAATTACAGATGTCGAAGCTGACACCATCTTCGTGGAGTAAAACAACACAAAGACATTTGACAGGTTTGTTGACCTGAGGTTGTTTGTTCTAGTAGAGGGTTTTACGGCGCTCGCAACAGCATAAGGTCATATGAGCGCCAAGGGGTGGATGTCAACAGAGAAGTCCTTACAGGGAATCAGACTTACTCTGCTCACCTCTCTAGCTTCAACAGCACAAAGTCTGCTTTGACTATCAAGGCACCCCGGAAATAGCGGGTCACAAGAGTGTGACAAAGAGGAAAATGACGATAGTAAGGATTAGGAAAGAAAAAGCAGCAGTTCCCTGTTGTAGATCAGGCACAGTTATGAGCATGACATTGTGGGATCAGCCCATTTACAATGTGCATTAGAACGAGAAATGTCCCCCCTTTGGGAATGGCCTAAAGACACTTCAGTCAGTGGCACCGCCCCCGGGGGTTGACCTGAGGGCAAATCACTCAAAGAAGAGCAGGCTTGGTAAGATTTAGTACTTCTTACCGCGGCCACCCCCATAGTTCCACCCATGTGCTATCTTGCAAAGACATAGAGCATTACAAACAATGCAGGTTTAATCTAGATGCATTTTATGTTACAGGCTCTTATGTAATAATGTAATTATAGAATAAGAAATACGAGACACCACATCACTAATGATTACTGGAGCTGACCCGGAAGCTGTACCTAACTTAGGAGGGAGACTTCACTTCCCGCTGAGCTGTCACGCCGTGAACAACACATTCTGAGTACACCTCATCAAGAGACTTAACAGGTTAGTGCCTTCACGTTCTAAATCTAGATTCGTTGCACAGGCAGTAAGGTATTGTTCTCTTGTTGACCAAAAAAGACTAAAGAGTGAATTTGATTTATAATATAATATAAAATTGATATCGCCAGAGTGCATGATGTTTGACCCTCCGACTCAAGCTGACGAAACAAGAAAAAGATGTCAAACCAAAGGGTAGTCACTACTGGAAAGTTTCACTAACTCTTGACTTAAGAGTTGACTCATTTAATTTGGAGAAACGCCTTATGGCCGTGGATGTATACCCGCCGCGGTATGGCTCACATGCTCTAGGAACCTATCATCTTATCTCCGGTCAGAACCGCTGTGCTGGTGAGCCATTGGCAGCACCTCAGCCACATTCCTTTACGACGACTTCAGCATCAAATTACTTTTTGGCAGTTGCCGAACACAGGTCTCTTTTACCAGGAGTTCATTCAGTAGATAGAGAACCATCAAAATAGGTTCACATGTATTGATTTAATGACCAATTTAGTGAAATATACGTCACTTTTAGATTTCGTACCAAAAAGGGCTCCGGCATAGTAGAGGCTTAACTCTTTCCAGACGTAGTTTTTTGGGGTCTAAACAAAATTAACAAGCGGCTCGATTTTGCTATGTAGGTGGTGTACAAACTAACTTCATAGAAGCATAACCATGACTCAAAATGTAACATAAGATATATCAAATTGAAGGAAATTGAATGAAGAATACATCCCAATATGAAACAAGAATTAATTTTGAACATAAGTATGCATTAGAAGGGTTAGAAATGGTGATGGTGATTAGAAAAATAAATTTAGATGGAAAAAATTACATTCACCAATCATGTGAAAGCAAATAAGCATAGCTATCTTATCATATACAGGCCAAGAGCACAACCCATAAATTTCTGAATGTGCAGCTTTTTATTTGAAAGCAATATTCCAATTGTTGTTTGAGTTTTGAAATTTATACTGAGTCCGGTTACATTGTTTTGTTGATGCAAGATCGCAAGAACTAATTCACTCGTTTTTCCCCAAACCCACGCTTTGACAAAGTGAAACGGAACATCATCTGTTCTTCTGTAGAAAACTAACTGATTTAAGGGGATGTTTTCTTCCAAAGCTACCCCACACATCTAATTGCCTCTACTCCTCAAGACAACAATTAGAACAGACATGCAGCTATTACCGAATGGCCTCATGCAGTAGAGTTAACGCTCAGATGCTACTGGATCGCTAACAACAACAACAACAACAACAATGACAAAGTGAAACTTGATGTTTGCGTTTCCTAAATCCTTTCCGAGTTTTTTAAAAGCAATCTAAAGAAATTATAAATGACGGATCGTGTTTAAACGAAACAATACTGAGGCACCCTATCACAGCCGATATATCGGCGATACGTCCGGAAAGAGCTAAAGAAATTGGCTGCAGTCAGCTTCAACTGTGCTGGTGGCTCTCTATGTTACATCTACTATCCATGTAAACAATATCGTTAAAAAGCTAAATCAGAGGCTCTACTTTCTGAGGAAACTTAAGTCTTTCAATCTCAATCCATCCATCCTTCAGATATCCAAGACAACCACAATAGAAACTTTGATAGATTTTGGTATCACTTACTATGGTAGTAATTTGGGAAGGCAGCACATCATAAAAATAAACAAGTAGATCAGAAAGGCATCAAGAACAATTGGCAGAGACCTAAGTAGCTTTGAATATCTGCACAAAGCAAACGTTCTAAAAAAGGCGGAAATAATGTTAACTGACCCACTGACATCGTAATTTCAACTATCGACTTGCAGTAAACGATACATTCCCAAAAAAGCAAGAACAGACAGATATAGAAATTCATTCGTACCAACTGCAGTGAGGTACAGGACACAGTGCTACAAAAGAGAGAGAGAGAGAGAGAGAGAGAGAGAGAGAGAGAGAGAGAGAGAGAGAATGTTTTATGGAGCGGGTTGTCCCAGCATGTGAGATATGTATTTACAAATGTCCTGTCTTGTTGTGTGTATGTGTGAGTGCACCTAACCTTTGTAACATCTACTGCCATTGTTTATGACCAAGACAAATTTCTCCCTGCGAGAGGAATAAAGATTGTCATTGTCATTGTCAAATGAACCTTGAACACAAAATACTTGAGTACAAAACTGCTCACCCTTGGATGTCTACGAGGATCTGCTGTGCCTTGGCCCTGTGCTCCTTGATGCAGTCGACGACAAGAGAGCCGGGCACGGAGGCCGGGATGAGGAACTGGCCCAGGGAGGACAACATCAGGGGACTGGCCTCTCTGGACAAAATCACCACGGTGGAGAATTAGCATGATCAAACATCATAAACTCTGCTTTAACCCTATCCGTAGACAACAAGCTCAACCTGAAACAACACACCAACAACCTTAGGAGGCAGGCTATGAAGAGACTTAATCTCATCAAACGACTAGCCAGTACCAACTGGGGATCAGACAAGAACACCTTGAGAGGCCTCTATTTAGGATATACCAGAGCTGTTTTTGATTATAATATTGTTCTACAAAACATTTGCAGTAAAACTACAAAGAACTCAATGGACACCATCCAAAACCAAGCTCTTCGTCTTATCTCTGGCGGAATGAGATCCTCACCGACTGCGGCCTGTGAAATCCACACAAAAATTGAGCCATTAGAAACTCGAAGAAAACTGGCAGCTTTAGAAGTATATGAAAGATCTAAAAGGCTAGAAAATAACCACCCTAATAGAATCCTTGTTGACAAGTGGAAACCTAATCAAAGACTAAAAAATGCAATATCTGTACTTGACACTGTTCTCAATCTTCAAGAAAAACATCACCTCCCTGAAAGACGAGAACCTCTGGAAAGAGTTCCCTCAACTCTCCCACCACATCTCACCATAGCAAAGCCAGAAATTAGGAAAACATTTTTGGACAAGAGCAATAAAAACACATATCCTGTAGCACTAAAACATTCTGCCCTTGAAACAATTGATTCCTATCCACCAACATGGATTCACTCATACACTGATGGATCTGCCTTTACGGCAACAATCAAAGCTGGATATGGGTCAGTGATCAACTTGCCCAGTGGGATAAAAAAAGAAGTCTTTTATTCCAGCGGGTCCTTCAGCTCCAATTTCATTGCCGAACAACAGGTTATCACCAACACAGCAAACTACATCAACTACTTGTTTGACACTAACCCACTTGCTACCACAGACATCGTTATCTTTACAGACAGCCTTTCAACACTAGAAACACTTGAGAGTGGGACTGATGTGAACAAAGATATATTGCACTTGATTTGGAGTCTACATAATTTGATAAGTAAGCACCACGTCAGAGTAGTCCTACAATGGATTCCTGCCCACACTGGGATACCGGGAAATGAAAGAGCTGATGCCCTGCAAAGAAAGGAGCTAGCCACCCTCAGCCTGAAATTCTTACGAATTACACCACCTGCTGCCGAATGATCAAGTCAAACCTCAAGGAAGAGTGGATGAATGATTCGGCCACAGGTACGACAGGAAGGAGGATGTATGGCCACATGAATAAACCACTGGTCAAAGATCCAATCAATGAGTTGAGGAGGGGAGATCAATCCATAATCTTCCAACTTAGAACACAACATGTACACCTCAACCAACATCTCAACCGAACTGGAGTAAAGCAGTCTGCTGCCTGCCCACTATGTGACTACCCCTTAGAGACAGTAGAACATCATCTGTTCTTCTGTAGAAAACTAACTGATTTAAGGGGATATTTTCTTCCCAAGCTACCCCACACATCTAATTTTGTACCCCCAGGGTTGTATTCTTTACATTTTAGAATACTTCTAGTGTGAAGATCTCTTTTAAACTTTCAGTATTTCAGTATTTCTCAAAAAATCATTCTGACAGACTGCTATGCAGAGCGTACGGATCGGATTAACGAGTAAATTTCCTCTTTGGAAAGTGGTGGCACAGAGATCCCCACATCGTATGGATACGATGGTAAAACACGACGTACGGATAGATTTAATAGTACAGAATTTGAGTCAAATAACTGTTTTAGTTTTTAGCTTTAGTAGAGGTATTACGGCGCTCGCAACTGCATTCGGTCATATGAGTGCCAGAAGATTAGAGGTGTTACAAGAGAGTAACAAACATAAAAATGAAGAAGGGGAGATAAAGATGAGAGATGTTTGATAGGAAAGAAGAAGCAAACCACACCGGAGCACCCGCCAACAGAAATAACAGCTCAACAACTGTAAATATATCAAATAAAAAAGCATAAGAACCACAAAAATGGTACAATGCCAGTACAACAAAAGCTGACAAACCAATCAAAAAGAGACAACAACAATATCCATGTTTTGGCCCTACCCTTCCACAACAAGCTGCAAGCCGGACAAATCCTGGTCCTGGAACGTGCTGGTCACATGATCCTGGCAGCGTCGCAGAGAATTCAGCAGTTTGTTGAGCAGCAGCTCGTACTCTTCCGCCATGACGGAGCAGTGCGTCTTTTCCCGGCGCACCACTTGTATACCGTTGAGCAGGGAGGACAGCTTTGCCTCCATGGTGGGCAGTCGGTGCAGGACCGCCTCGTACGCCCCCACTGACCTCAAGAGCTGGGGGAGAAGACGTCACAAACAAAGAAGACAATACCTTTACTGGCACCGAGAGTGATGACCATCACCCTTATTTTGAGATCAACAATAAAAGACTATGACTCACAGGTTTAAAAGAAAAAAATTTTTTTTGTTGAGGTTTTAGAAAGCTCGCACTGCATAAGGTCATAAGAGCACCAGAAGATTAGAGGTGTTACAAGAGAGTAACAATACAAGAGAGTAACAGATACAAAAAAGAAGGAGGAGAGATCAGTTTTTCAGTTTTAGTAGAGGTTTTACGGCACTCGCAACTGCATAAGGTCATATGAGCGCCAGAAGATTAGAGGTGTTACAAGAGAGTAACAAACATAAAAAATAAGAAGAGGAGATAAGGACGATATATGTTTGATAGGAATGGAGGAGAGATCAGGACGATAGATGTTTGATAGGAAAGAAGGAGCAAACCACACAAGAGCACCCGCCAACCACCCACAGTCACAAACAAAGAAAACGAATACCTTTACAGGCATCAAGAGTGAGAACCATCACCCTCATTTTGAGATCTACAATAAAAGACTATGATTCACATTTTTTTAACGATACAAACATTGAAGACAACCCATTTTTCATTAAAACAACAACAAGTCCATAATCAATATTTCAGTATTTAAACAGAGACATAATCAATTTGTTAAGTACAGTAGAATACGGCTATAGCGTAACATTTTGTTCCAGAAGAAAAATCCAGCTGTGAGCGAGTTCCCGCTATAGGAATGTAAAGGGGGAAATTACCCAAAAATGTCTAAAAATCCACATGAATACCTCCCTCCCATATCAATAAATCTGCACTTTTGATTAGACTTTAGTCTTCCTTTTCTTGCCAACTTCGTTGATTATCTCGGCCTTTAATTCGACTGAGAAGCATTTCCTTTTGTCCTTGTTGGAAGCCGTCTTTTCCTCGGTTTCGATGCTTGTGCTGTCTATAGTAACGGGAGGGCAACTGTAGTACTGGTGAAGTGGACGCGTGCGTATGCTTATGAGCATCAACGATCATAATTCAATGAATCAGGAATCACACACTACATGCTCTCCTCTTCTTTGACTTTTTAGCCTCGCCTAGGCCTAGGGCTATGGCATATACGCTCTAATACTGAGTCTCTTAGCTACGGCACATCACTTTTGGAGTGGCTCACGTAACTCATCTCTCCGCACCATCTCTCTCTGCCACCTGCCCCTCACTCATCATTGGACTGGCCAATCACAACGCTGCACCACTGACTGCTTGTTTGGAACCCGCCTACAGCACCCCCTCCCCCTTCCACCCAGCTAGAGCTTGCTCGATCTCTCCCACTGTATCAAAGTTCAGGCCTTTCCTTTCTCCGCTAAACCCGAGCACAGGTAATTGAGTTTATGTAGAGTAAAAAAGGGGGATTCCGACAAGGTCCCGCTGTAGCGGGTGCTTCTGTAGTCATGTTCTACTGTATCATGAACTCACAATCAAAACAATGCCAAACGTTCAAGTTACTCATTTAAATTAAAATGTTTCCGTAGGGGCATGCTGTGCTTATATAAGTTTGCTTTAGTAGAGGTTTTACAAACAAGTGAGTAGAGAGAACATCAACTGATCGAGAAGAACAAGTGAGTAGAGAGAACATCAATTGGCGTGATGAACAAGTGAGTAGAGAGAACATCAACTGACGTGATGAACAAGTGAGTAGAGAAGTGAGTGGAGAGAACATCAACTGACAGAGATGAACAAGTGAGTGCAGAGAACATCAACTGACGTGATGAACAAGTGAGTAGAAAGAACATCAACTGACAGAGATGAACAAGTGAGTAGAAAGAACATCAACTGACAGAGATGAACAAGTGAGTGGAGAGAACATCAACTGACGTGATGAACAAGTGAGTAGAGAGAACATCAACTGACAGAGATGAACAAGTGAGTAGAGAGAACATCAACTGACAGAGATGAACAAGTGAGTAGAGAAGTGAGTGGAGAGAACATCAACTGACCGTGAACCAGGTCTGCGGCACGTCTTCACTACTGAGCACTATCTCCCCAAGGCGACTCACACCTGTGCTGTTGCTGAACACTAGGGTCCGGTCTGAGGCGTCGGGGGGGGGGGGGGGAGAAGAAAAACCCAGGGAAATTAACACAAAAATTAATGTTGCACGGGTTTAGTTTTAGTAAGAGTTTTACGGCACTTGCAACGCAATAAGGTCATATAAGTGCCGAAGATTAGAGGTGTTACAAGAGTGGAACAAACACAAAAAAAGGAGGAGGAGAGATCAGGATGATAGATGTTTGATAGGAAAGAAGGAACAAACCATACCAGAGCACCCACCAACCACCCACAATGTTGCTCTTGGAAATTTAGTCCACTCTACTTAAAACTTTCATTTCATATGTCTTCAAATTTTATGGCTGACATAGACCCTCCTGCCCTCAATCATCTTGTAAAACAAAAATTAAATTGCTCTCATAATAGAAAATTTTTTTCACCTTATTTTTCCTGCAATAATGATGTGTATCTCCTTGCACCCTGTTGCAAGACAAAAGAGTAACTGCCAATTTGCCCTGATTTACAGGGTGAATAAAAACACATTTGAGTACCTCATATTTGGTCAGTTTTAGGGACAAGCAGGCTAACCCAGATTTCAGGGGTTTCCAAAAATCTTGACCTACAACAAAAGTGGGCATTGCCCTACCTGTAGGATAAGTTTGGTTTCACTGGTGTGTATATTTGTTTGGTTATAGAGAAAACTCTCCTTGTCTTTTAAATACTGCTATAGCGCAATCAGACAAACATGCGAGTCGCTTATAGTGGAATATTGCTGCTGCTGTGCACAGTGCATAGGCCAATTATACATAATGCAAAATCTCGCCAGTTGAGAAACTTGTTGGTGAACTAGTCAAACAAAGAACGGGAGAGCCCACGTGTGTCAACAATGAAGGCCGGGGCAACTGAGTAGGGAGGGTGTGGCATGCGCAGACAAGCAGAACGCATCGCGTGATAGGCCAGTGTAAGCCTAGTTTAGATTTAGATTATCAAGGCCTACCATGCCTCTCACTTCTCCGATGCGAGGATGGAGAGGTCACAGCAATGTGATGGATGGAGCGAATGTGTGACGCGCGCAAGCAGACAGAATGCACCACAGGGTGTGGTAGGGTGGGAGACAACACAGCGGGCGAGTTAACCTGGAGCCCTTTCTTTCTGATCGCCAACGCCGAGCTGTCAGTCTACATCTCTAGATCTAGCACTAGAGAAAGAAACCTGATTCGATTTTTGATCAAGTAAGACCTAGAGGTCATGTTGAACAAAATCATTATCAGGGGAGATAGCAAAAGGAAATAAACAGAACACCAAACTCATTGGTTAGGCGTACTTTACAGTTTCCCTCGAATTTATTACTGGATCTCTTATAGCGAGAATCCTGCTATAACGGACATTTGGCACCGGTCCCCTCCCTCTCGTTATAACAGGATTCCACTGTATACACACCACTGAAACCAAACTTCTCCGATAGGTAGGGCAATGCCCACTTTTGGTGTAGGTCAAGATTTCCGGAAACCCCTGAAATCTGGGTTAGCCCGCTTGTCTTTAAAAGCGACCATATGAGCCTTGTGGTGGCACAGTGTCAAACATCAATTGTTCATACCTTTGAGAACAAACTTGAGAAAATCAGGGTGGTCACGGTAAAGTCGGTCGAAAGATTTGAGGCAGCCACGGAAGTGATGGAAGCCCCACACACTATCGAAACGGATGTCCTTGAGGCAAAGTTCCCTCCTCAACCTGTCCAAAAGTCGAGCGATGTCGTCCTGAATGTAGCGCACAGACTCTTCGTGCTGACGAGACCGCTGAATGTTTAGCTGGAGCCAACTCCTGAATACCAGAATTTGTGAAATCAAATTGAGAAATGTATGGCATAAATATAACTTCACCAAATTTTTAACAAAACAAAACAAGAGGGTAAACCGTTGGCTCACCACTCCCTGTAGCTTGTAAAAAAAACCAGTGGAGATATCGATAGATAAAGCGCATCCCGTAAATAGATGGGATTAAACCACCAGGCCAGCGGGCTGTCCCATAAATATACGGGGATAGGATCAAGTCGGTTAAATAAAGTAAAAAAGCAGTTCTCACTACACTGATGAAACAAATGTGAGGCGTGCCAACAAAATAAGTTACTTCTCGCGATCCAAGAATGGAGATAAAGGGCGAAAATCAATACCGAGGACAGATTTATAGATTTTCCAATAGATACCATTTTGTCCAAGTCTACCGTATCTTTTATTATTCCACACTTACAAATTGTACAAACTTCACCTATAAATTTCCATAAGGCTAAAATCCGAAAGCAGTAACTCATTTTGTCAGCACAAGCCACAAATGTTCTTTTCTATAGAAATCTAGTTCTCACTTCCACAACTTTTTCTAAGAAGGCAATATTATATTACTAAAAACTGTTGTGCCAAAAGAGCTTGGCAAGGCTATGAGAACTCAGTAATCAAATCATAGCCAAAAACGATTTCCCTCAAAGGTAAGGCAAGCTACAATTTCCCACAAGGATTATGAAGACAAACATAGAAATAAAGCAACACACCTGCTTTGTTTTAGTAAGAGTTTTACATTTAGTAAGAGTTTTACAGCACTTGCAGCACAATAAGGTCATATAAGTGCCGAAGATTAGAGATTTTACAAGAGAGTAACAAACACAAAATAGAAGGAGGGGAGATCAGGATGATAGATGTTTGATAGGAAAGAAGTAGCAAACCACACCAGAGCACCCGCCAACCACCCATGATCACACCTGCTAACTCAAACGAAAATGCAGTGAAAACACTAAACAGTTACCAAACACATATAGAAATAAAACGTTCGTTGATGATAACACAATTTACCTAAGTGTCAGTGCCACAGCTTTTTCAGCTTTCCGAGAATGCGGGTTCTTTTTTCCTGTAGCAGTATAATATGTATGATGCCATTCAATTGGACGATTTGTGCCGTACCTGGAATATCAGAAATAACAATGCTTACTTTGTCCATTAAAAGGTGATCAACTGGACTGAAAGCACGGAAATTGGCACTGAATTATAGTGGGAATCTTTAGATTTGATACCATGGATCCCCCTCATCTGGAACAGTAAGACGGCACTAATATGGCATCTAAAAAGGATTATGTGAAGTTATAATACAGCCTATTTTTTAAAAATCTAGGTCACCTGCACTCCGCTCATGGAGTATGACATTTTCCTTTCATCTTTTAGTTATTGACTTACCTTTCAAATAGCAACACTTACATCGCATTCTCAAATAAGATTATCGAGTACGATCTCTCTTCAGTATTAGGAAATAGAAAATAGTCACATAATTAGGCCTAGTTTCTGTGCTTTTGACAAATCAAAAGTAAGAATTAGCGTTCATTCAAAACAAACCTTTTTGTCACTTTCCCAAGAAAAAATTTAATAATTTAAATGATTTTTGCTCACCCTGTCAAACAAGATCATACATATTCTAGCAACAGCAGCATGTCTCATTAACCCTATCAGTACGTCGTGATTTACTATCGTATCCAAACGACGTGGGGAACTCAGCGCCACCATTTTCCAAAGAGGAAATTTACTCGTTAATCCGATCCGTACGCTTTGCATAGCAGTCTGTCAAAATGATTTTTTCAGAAATACTGAAAGTTTCAAAGATATTTTCGTACTAGAAGTATTCTAAAATGAGAAGAATACAACCCCGGAGGATACAAAATGACCCCAGGGCGTACCGATAGGATTAAAGGCAGCTGCTGCACTCTCTATGGTATTGAGCCGATTTGTTACCAAAAAGAAAAATGCATGGTGATCAGTCCATTCAGAGGAAACAGAAAGCAAAAATTACAAGTTGGGAGATCAACTTACATAATGCCAGAAGACTCCGGCACGTGAGAATTGGACAGGCCACAGGTAGAGAGAATGGCCATCACGGTGTCTCGCAGGTTGCTTGTGGTCAGGCAGATTTTCACCTGCTTCAGGCCTACAGGAGAGGAAAGAAATCAGACGGACAGTTGACTGGACATGATAAGAAAAAAATAAATTCGAATTTAGTTTCAGTAGAGGTTTTACGGCACTCGCAACTGCATAAGGTCACATGAGCGCCAGAAGATTAGAGGTGTTAAAAGAGAGTAACAAACATAAAAAAGAAGAAGGGGTAGATAAGGACGATAGATGTTTGATAGAAAAGAAGGAGCAAACCACACAAGAGCTCCCTCCAACCACCCACAATAATTCGAAGCAAAATGAAAATTTAAAAGAACAGAAAATATCATATCAAAGTACAAACTTGTCTCAACATTAGGTTGTTTTTTTCCCTCAGAAATCAGTATGAACAAAAATGCAATACCATAAGATTTTGTCCAAAAGTGATATAGGGAAAAAATACATGTCTTAACACTTTTACAGAACTATAGTATGTTTTAAGAATAACATCTTCTCAAAGGGAAGTTTGTCTTCAGACAAGAAACAAAAATCTGGAACAGGTCAAGTTCAAATCTCAAAAAGTGTAGATGTGCTTTGTGCAGAGTGAAAAAGTGACAAAACGACATATACCTGGGCCAACCCCCTAGGGCGGTGCCACTGACTGAAGTGTCTTTAGGTCATTCCCAAAGGGGGAGACATTTCTCATTCTAGCACAGTAGAATTGTAAATGGGCTGACTCATGTCACGCTCCTAACTGTGTTTGAACTACAACAGGGAAATGCTACTCTTTCTTTCCTAATCCTTACTATTATCATTTTCCTTTACTTCTTTTGTATGTTTGTCACACTCTTGTGACCCACTATTTTTGGGGTGCCTTGATAGTCGAAGCAGACTTTGTGCTGTTGAAGCTAGAGAGGTGAACAGTGTAAGTCTGATTCCCTGTAAAGATTTCTCTGTTGACATCCACCCCTTGGCACTCATATGACCTTATGCAGTTGCGAGCGCCGTAAAACCTCTACTTAAACAAACCAATAAACATTAAAACATACCCGGGCCGGAGCTGTCCTGGGAACGGATATAAAACACCATTTCCTTGGGTTCAGTCTTGCCCAGACTGGGATGTACTGCTAGGTACTCATTTAAAAGCTTCAGAGAATTTTCATTGACAGCCTGAAAGCGAAAAAATATGGATGCAGTTACAAGGAATAGGACAAATAAAATGAAGATAGTTACAGAATTATAGTGATTACATTATGATGATGATGATGGAGACAATCAGCCTGCCCACACTGAAATGGACCCTCATGAAGAAGGGCGAGGAAGCATGGAGCACCCCGTCTTCCTAAGACCCCAGTTCAACATTTAAGTAATTAAATCAAGAAAGTAGTGACTAAATTAGCACTTAGAAACACTACAAAAAGAAGTGAAAGAAGTTGGGGAGCTTACTCATAAAAACACCCCTTACATAACACCTAAACAAACTCTTCCCTACATGCAAACTTACAGGCACATCAAGTGTTTACAGTTCAGCTTTCAGTGATATTCAACAACACCCATCAGACTACAGTCAGGATGTAACAAAGCACCGGTGAAACATAACGTCTGCCATCATGTCTATGTGTCTACAGAGCTCTGTAGGATGGCGCTCGCAACTGCATAAGGTCATATGAGCGCGCGGGACATACCAAACATTTTCAGTTGGTAGGAAGTTTTGAATTTTGCCCGGGAGGTGGCCGAAGCCTACTCTTATCCATTTTAGACCACCAAGGGATAAATAATGTGCGCAACTTTCACACATGACCTCCGAGGTTTTATGCCCTTGTCTGAGAAGGCTAGGTGTACATCATTCCTACCAGAAGATCAGGGGTGTGGCTGAAAGACAACAGTAAGAAGGAGCCAAGGAGAAGCAGTAGAAAGGCTGCCAAAATTCAAAGAATACAAACCGTCCTGAAAATCAGTGAACATCAACTAACCAGGAATGGAATAGGGCGACAATCAAGAGAAAAAGTCAAAGACGGCAGTTGCCAATACATGAAATGAACACTGTTTCATCTGCATAAAACGTTTTAACCCATACATGAACTAGGGGGCTCTCGTGGACAAGAGATTACTGTGTTCGCCTCTCATTCAATAGGTCCCAAGTTCGAATCTGGAAAGCTACGGAAAATTTTCTCCTGCTCTCTAACAAAGTTCTGTAGTCTGCTTTCACCTCCGATTTCTGCCCCCATCCCTTCACCTCCTTTGTCCCCTCCTCTGGGCTCTTGACTCTTTCTGAAGCCTTTGTACTGCTACTCCTTGGCTCCTTATTACTGTTGTCTTTCAACCACACTCCTGATCTTATGGTAGGTAAGATATAACACCTGGCCTTCTCGGATAAGAATGTAAAAGTTGTGCATGTTAAAGATCCCTTGGTGGTCCAAAATCGATAAGAGTTGGCTTCGGCCGCCACCAGGGCAAAATACAAAATTTCCTACTAACTGAAAATGTTAAATGTGTCCTGCATGGTAACATGACATTACGTTGTTGCGAGCGCCATAAAACACTTACCCCCCAAAAAACTGAGCATGGTTACGTGTGCATTAACACTTTGCCGCCTCATTTTGCCAATTGGAGATGTTAACCACCCAGTTTCTTTGGATTTTCCCCAAAATATGATGGCAAAGTGTCAAAGATTTGAACTCATACATGAACTGACCATGGTCACATCTGCACAAAAAGTTTTAGCTTTTCTTCAATATTCACCCTTTCTGTGGGATGCTGCCCAAACAAGTCTGGGTGGACCACGAAGTAAAACGGTCGCAGCGCTGCAGAGGCATCTTGAACCGTGAAGTATCGCTTATGTCGGACTAGAGGAAGGCAACGCTGGAAAACCTGTGTGCACAAGGCGCACCTGAAAAAGGAAAAATTGAGGTGGAAGATGGGGGGTATAATCAGAAAAAAAGGGGACCACAGCTAGAAAACAGTGTAAAGACCATACAAAAATGATATGCTCTCCCATTGTCATTTTTAATTCAAGTATTCCTCCTCTTTTCATTCTTTTAAGTTTATAATTAAAAATCAGCAACCAAAATAAAAGTATTAGACAGATAATATTTCATGAAATAATTATTTTGTACTCAAGTAGTGCAGAGCAGGTAGGCCTACCTGTCAAAAAGAGTCAGAAAATATGACAAAAGCACTTAAAAGAGTCAGAAAATATGACAAAAGCACTTAAAAGAGTCAGAAAATATGACAAAAGCACTTAAAAGAGTCAGAAAATAAGATAAAAGCACTTAAAAGAGTCAGAAAATAAGACAAAAGCTCATATAATTAACACAGCTTCTTGTTTGTTACGTACTACATATCTTGAAAGTAGAGAAATATTAACGACTTTACCTTGCAGACTGCAGACTTCTCAGCATCTTTTCACTGCCCAACACATAAACTACAACATCCCATCAATCATCTCTCGTAAGACATCCAGCGTAATACGACGTTTCTGAGAGAGTGGTCACATTCTCGGTTGTTTGACGAAATGGTTCTTGTTCAGCTGCAAAGAAAGTGGAAATTGAGAACTGTTCAAACTCATTCTCTTTGAGCAGCTGCTTGGCGGGCAAAGTTGAATTACAAATAAACAGGAGAAATAGTAAAAGTTATCGTAGATGTACACCACATGGCCGCTATCCCACACACTATATCACGGCAAGTTTGGTTGACATTGTGCCGGTGGCAATGTCAAAGAAAGATCTGGACCAAAGAGGAATGGGGCAGAGAGTCTTAGTTTAAGTTTTAGTAAGTGTTTTACGACACTTGCAATGCAATAAGGTCATATAAGTGCTGAAGAATAGAAGTGTTACAAGAGAGTAGTGAGTAGCAAACACAAAAAAGAAGGAGGGGAGATGAAGATGATAGATGTTTGATAGGAAAGAAGAAGCTAACTACACAAGAGCACCCGCCAACCACTCACATAGTGAGTCTATTAGCAGGGAAAAAGGGGGAGGACAAAGACAGAACTTTATCCTCAGTATGAATACATTTAACACTTTATGATGAACTTGACACAAGCAGCAAGCAAATACAAAAGACCTACTGTACTTCTGAACCCTTTGAGCCCTTGCCACCGGTACACTGGTGGCGCGTTAAACTGCCTGCATGCCTTGCCACCGGAAAACTGGGGGTGCGTGGAACTGCCTGTATACCTTGCTACCGGTAAACTGGGGCCGCGTGTGTGTGGGTTGTTGTTTTTTTCCAACTACAGATTCTATCTCGATCTCAATAACGGAATAGCAGATCAGGATCAAAATACCGGAAATACTGGAAAAAAGCGGAAAAGTGTCATCCCTGATAATAGTTCTGTTTTAGTAAGAGTTTTACGGCGCTCACAACTGCATAAGGTCATATGAGCATACAAAAATAGGTTGGTTCTGTTCACAACAGTACACTGAACAGTCCGATTCTGGTTAACACCTCTACTAAAATACTAAAAATTTGATGTAAATAAACTAATTTAAAACAACTTTGACTATAATCAAAATAATTATTCTGAATCCGAGGCTGGTAATGACAAGGACTACCCTAAATGGGATAAGGAAAATGATTCTGATGATCTTATGGACGTTAGTAGGCCTAATATATCGCTCAAGAGCTCAGCCAGAAGGGCACGCTAGCCTCAGAGGGTCACGGCTCAAAGGGTTAAGGTGACCCAAAAGCAAGAGATGAGCAAAATGAAGCAAAGCAAACAATCTAAAATGGTGACTATGGATTAAACTAGGCCTGGATAAACTACAGCTGGGGGACAGGTCTAGCTTGTGTGAGTGGATTCAGCCTGGCCCGCGAACCAGTAATCAATAATGAATGTGGGCCATGCATTGTGAGATGATAATTCATAAAAAGAAAACTGTCTGTCTTGAAAATTAAAATCGTTTGTTTCCAGCCCAGATGAGAGTAAAAGATCTAACAATTATCTCATCATGAAATGCCCGTGAGTGAATACTCTATAGTAGGCCTACATGTACTACGTTTTAGTCTCTTTTTAGAGCCTGGGTATTTCAACTGATTTTTCCCTGCTTTCTCCTGCTTTGGCCTGCAAGATATTTGGCAATCACTTATCCAGCCCACAACTTGAACACGCTTGCCCCAGCCTGGATTATACATAGTTGGAACAAGATATCTACAGAACGTGAAAGTGAAGATGATAAATTCCAAGGTATAGATCCCCATAGGTAAATGCATGAATAGTACACAAGATCACAAGCATTGACTATCCATCCACACACCACTGTAAGTGCCCAATATACAGCACCCTGTTTTTTAACAACAGCTATTGTAAGCTGTTCAAGGACATAGCTCTGTGACTACTGTATAACCAGGAAGGGTACTATTTTTGGCATAGTACGTGTACTTAAATTTGCATTTTTTTTTTTTAATCTGCACATTCAAGTCTTTCATGAAATGTTAAAAGGGGTGCAACTGCAATGGAATCTAAATACAATTTATAATATGATCTTATTAGCTTAGCCTTCTAAGTTTTTAATCAAGACAGAGGATGTTACTGTGTTTTTCTCTGTATAATTACCACCAGCAAGGAAACTGCAAAGCTTCATAAATGGATGCCTACAAAGGACAGTGGGGATCACGTGGTACGATCGAGTCACTAATGCTCAGCTGTGGGAAAGAACAAGCCAAAGGCCAGTAAAGGAAGACATACAGGTGAAGAAATGGAAATGGATTGGACACACCCTGAGGAGACCCCTGACAAGCATCATCAAGCAGGCTTTAACGTGGAACCCACAACGAAAACGCAAGAAGGGAAGACAAAAAGATGACATGGAGGCGAGCGGTACAAGCAGAAATTGAAAAAGCGGGGACATCATGGAAACAGATAGAAAAGGATGCTCAGGACAAGCTTCGCTGGAGTAATGTTGTTGATGGCCTGTGCTCCACTGGGAGTTTAAAAAAAGGGCAAGAGAGAGAGAGAGAGAGAGAGAGAGAGAGAGAGAGAGAGAGAGAGAGAGAATTACCATCACACTGACTACTTTGTATAAATATGTTTTTCCACTTTGTTTTGAACGCACGTTATATGTCAATTGGACCTAAATAAAAGCATTTCATTTCACAGGCTTTAATGCGTAATGTGCCATTGTTGAACTGTTGTTGCTGTTGTTGTTATCGATCCAGCAACATCTGGGCTCTCGCCATGTAGTGATAAGAGCAGGTTTGCTGAGTTGCTGTAATGTTCCGTAGAGTGTGTTGTCAAAGTTAAGTCTAGGAGGGCCATTGTTGAACTATACAGCAGAATTCTACCAATGTGCTGATGGTGTGTAGAAGTCTGTTCAATAAATACTTATGATGCAATTGAACTTCAATGTGTTTGCTTTTCTTCTGCGAATAAGATTTTCGGAAGATTTTTTGTTATATTTTTTGGTACTGGTAAGTGTTTTAATGGCATTTGCAACTGCATAAGGTCATATGAGAGTGTGGGAAACATTAAACATTTTCAGTTTGTGGGAAAAATTTCTGAATTTTGCGCCGGTGGCCGCCAAAGTGCGCTACTCTTATCGATTTTGGACCACCAAGAGATCTTTAATTTTAATGTGTGAAACTTGAACAATGGACTTCCCAAGATTTTTCACACTGTCCGAGAAGGCTAGGTGTAGATCTTTCCTACCATAAGATCAGGGATGTGGCTGACAGATAGTAAGAAGGAGCCATGAAGGAGTAGCAGTAGAAACAAAAAGACTGCTAAAAAAGTCAGGAGCCCAGAGGATGGATGAGGCAAAGGATGTGAGGGTGGTGGGAGCAGAAAATGGAGACGAAAGCAAACAACAGAACATTGCAAGAGAGGAGGAAAGGAAGTGAAAAGAGACATTTTTTTTCAGAGAGGAAAAATTTCCGTCGCTATCCGAATTCGAAACCGAGAGCTACTGAATGAGAGGTGAACACCTTAAATTAACCTTTAGACCACGAGAACCCCCTGAATAAGTATTATAGTCTAACAATATGTGAGGCAGCGTGGTGGAAACAGGCTCTCGGCAAAATAATCAAAGTGAAGAAACTAGCATTCTTCTGCAGGTTTGTGAATTTTTATTAAAATTTTGTTTTTTGGCTCATCACCTTTAATGCCAATTAAAGAACTAATTTCTGGGTGGATTTTTCGGAAAAACGTTGATTAAAGGCACAAAAATGTAAATTTTCATTTACCACTGACTCGCAAGCTAAGGAAATAACTAATCTTTGGCAGTCATTTTCTCACTAATTTTACCTCTTAAATCAGGTGACCCCCACCTCCTTCAATTCGTAATATCACCACTTCTATTCAAGATGGATGGGTAATTTTTTCCTTGAAAGCAAGACAAATGAACAAGCTTTAAGATGATTTGCCTTACTTAGGATGAAAAATACATCCATCTATCTTGGATACATTTTGAGATATTGGCGATTAAAGGAGGTAGACATCGCTTGGTTTCAGAGGTAAAATTGGCGAGAAAATGACCGCCATAGTTAAGTTATTTCCTTAGCTTAAGAGTCCGTGCAAACGGCAAATTTTCATTTTCAAGACTTAAATCAACGTTTTTCCAGTAATATCCACACAGAAATGTATTCTTTAATAGACATGAAATGTGTTTAGCCAAAAACCAAAAAAATCAATAACAATTCCCCAACCTGCTGTAAAATGCCAGTTTATTTACTTTCATTATTTCGACGAGTGCCTGATTTCACCATGCTGCCTCACATATATCAGGCCTATGGTTCTTTTTGTGTTTTGTGAATAAGGTCGCGGGTTCGAACCCCGGCCGGATCAAACTTAAGACTTAAAAATTGGTATTCTGGTAGCTTCCTAGCTTGATGTCAGCATCATGAGGTTAGTGCAAGGACTGGACTGCAAACCTAAGGGGATGGTTGAGGCCGTAGGGGGAGTGAAGTCATAAGAAAATAGTTTTACTTTTAGTAGAGGTTTTACGGTGCTCGCTACTATAAGGTCATATATGAGCGCCAAGGGGTGGACGTCAACAGAGAAGTCTTTACAGGGAATCAGACTTACTCCCATCACCTCTCTAGCCTCAACAGCACAAAGTCTGCTTCAACTATCAAGCACCCCGGAAATAGCGGGTCACAAAAATGTGACTAACATACAAAAGAAGGAGAGGAAAACGACGATAGTAAGGATGAGGAAAGAAAAAGCAAAGTTCCGTGTTGCATTTCAGGCACAGTTATGAGCATGACATGGTTGGATCAGCCCATTTACAATTCTACTTTGCATTAGAACGAGAAATGTTCCCCCTTTGGGAATGGCCTAAAGACACTTCAGTCAGTACGGCACCGCCCATCGCGGTTTATATTTTATATGAAAATAAGATGGACTTTTTATCTAGACCAATCACCAATCAGGCATGAATGAAGTTCACACTGTCCGACATTGCTTAGGCTTACTTTTTTTTTCACCATCAGGCCAGTGCTCAGCACACTTCACATTTTCCTCCACGGAACCCATGAACACATTGTTTACTTTTCAACCTGCATTGTCAATATAATACAACATTAGGGCTGAACTACTATCATTACAGACTCAGACTGTATGGTATTAATATAGTTCCCAACACAGGTTGAGAATATAGGAAAATTCTACTATCGCCAACATCGGTTGGGAATAAACAATTTGTAGCCAACTATTCCCAACACCAGTTAGGAATTTAAGGGTATCTTTTTGCTCATGGACATCCCATCTCACATTAAGATTCTTTATTAACTCACTGACTACGGATCCCGTCACGGGTACGGGGCAGACGGTCGGTTCGCAGGTACGGATCCCGTACCCCCGACGGGATGGACTTTGCGGTCTTGTTCCGTATCTTGTGCTCCCGTCACATGAACGGGAACGGACTCCAGTGCTAGTTTTGCCTCTTGTTTCATTTCGTGCGGAGTCTGGCGGAAGTTTCATGGTAACTTATTAAGCAACTGAAGGTGAAAGACAGTCACCTCATCTGGGTTTGATCTGACCGGAACTCGCGCTATGTTTTTTCTATACAAATGATAGTGATCCGACAGTCGCGTTGAAGTAACGGTCGCATGAACAAGAATCACAAAATTTCGCTGTTTTCGATACTTCTGTACGTTTTACTGGTTCTAGTGACTCCGGATATGATGTGTCTGATAGTTAGGACCCTGGATATGTACCCGAACACGGCACGAGTCGTAGTTTAGGGCTAGATCTAGCGCTAGTACTGTTGTTGTTCGTGCAAACGAAATCACAACTTTGTTTCCTACATCTGTCTCATGTAATTCAGTGTATGGGTCTGAATAAACGCACAGACCAGCTTTTATATTTTCACCAAACACTCACACATGGATACAAATCAAAACAGAACACTTTGAACTTTTATTTTTGTTGTAATTGTGAATTTCATTCTATCTGTCATGTCTCTGGAAATTTTTCGAAAAATCAAAATCAAATTAATTCCAATTTTGAAACAATCATAAGAATCAAAGTATTAGACCTAGAAAACTTAAATTTTTTGCAATAGATTAAGTTTGAAAGTTATTTTACTGTGTCAAAAAATAATTACAATCTATATAGGGTAATTCTGAGAGTTGTGGTGGTGTTTTGAAATACCCCCAAAAATGCCAGTACTCAGCGCTAGTGATTTGTGAAAGGGGCCAGTAGTCAGTGAGTTAATTTATTAGTATATTGGATATTTTTATAACGAACTAATAAAAATAGAACCAATGACGTAGTAATATTTGAGGGTTTTTTTAAAACTCATGCACCCGTCTCATGTAGGCTAGATCTGTTTTATCTAGATCTAGATCTAGAATCTAGATTCTATACTTTTTTACTAGAATTATATTTTGCATTCACTGAATACATGGCCTTCAATTTCGCCGCAAATCAATAGTTATTGAGTTATAATTGATGTTTGAAAATAGAACTAGGACCAGTGGCATGGCATAGTAATATTTGACTTGCTTTTAACAATATGGATTGGGGGGGGGGGGGGGGGGGCCTGACCTCAAAAGAATCTGGAGGGTTTCAGGGGGTGCAGCAAAAATTATGGCAGTTTAGCCCCCAAAACAGTGAACCTGCGTGCGGGTTTAGAAGTAAAAATTGACAAGAAAAAGCACAGCGTCAGCCAATCAAATTTACAATCAGCAGCTCTCAACTACAATTTGAGACTGTGTGAGAGTGAGAGGAAGCCGCTTGCTGGAGTGGGGGGTAGGACTCTAGCTGTTGTGTTAACATTCATCCAAGCTAGAAGAATCTAAAGTGAAAAAAACTAAGAGGGCTAATAGTTCTATATCTAGAAATCTAGAAACGGTGATCTAATCTAGAAATCTAGAGAATCTAGAGAAAAGTTCATGCAAAATGCAAACAGTAACAGCAACTCACAAGAATCATAGAATCGATCGTTTGTGGTGCCGTCCCACGACAAAACCTCCGAGAGAGAAAGAGTAGAAAAGAAAGATTGTTCAAGGTGCAATGTTAAATAAGACTAAGAATCAAGAAATCTGGACCTGGAACGCAGTTCAAGGTAAAACAAAACCAAAGATTGTACAAGATTGTTTACTCGGCCAAAAAAGTGTCCGCGGAAGTTTGCGCATTGGTTCAGATGTCGCTGCAGCAGAGAAGTTATAATAGTACTAGAGGTCGCAGCTGTGACGTCACCCACGTAAACTCACCTACCCACTCAGCTCGCCGTGTCGCCATTTTTGAGAGGATTAGAAACAGCTCTGTCACGCTGCACATCCTTTGCAACGATTTGGTCTTCATAGAGTTTGAAGCTCAGTTCGGTTCTTCTATTTTATGTTTTCTTTTTGTTTGCTGTTGTTGTTTAACCCTATCCGTACACCCCGGGGTCATTTTGAACCCCCGGGGATGTATTCTTTACATTTTAGAATACGTCTTGTGCGAAAGATCTCTTTGAAACTTTCAGTATTTCTCAAAAAATCATTTTGACAGACTGCTATGCTAAGTGTACGGATCGGATTGACAAGTAAATTTCCTCTTTGGAAAGTGATGGCACTCAGAGTTTGCCACGTCGTATGGATAAGATAGTAGTAAAACACGACGTACGGATAGGGTTAAGTGGTGGCACAGAGTTCCTCATGTCATATGGATACGATAGTAAAACACGACGTAAGGATAGGGTTAAGTGGTGGCACAGAGTAATTCCCCCATGTCGTATGGATACGATAGTAAAACATGACGTACGGATAGGGTTAAGTGGTGGCATAGAGTTCCCCACGTCGTACGTATGGATATGATAGTAAAACATAATGTACGGATAGGGTTAATCATAAATCATACACGCATACACAATACCGCACCAGCTGACCCATTGTGGGAAACATAATTAATGCGCTTAAACATGGGTTACAAATGAACATAGAGATAAAATATGAGGCGTTTTTTGTTTTGTTTTTCCCAGGTGGAGTGGGGAAGGGGTGGGGGAGATAAGTGAGTAGGCCTAATTGAGTTTGTTAAGAAAAAGGAAAATTTTTTACTTTGGCCTACAAAATAGATTGCTTTTATGTCATGTTGTGTACACTCTCCTTCTACTGATGCAAAGCCTAGAGTATGAAGGGGATTAAGACTGGATTAATTATTTAATAATGTTATTGTTATTGTCTCAAAATGAGCAATTAATTGTAGACTGGGATACTGTAAATCAATCATTGTGTGGATCCTGTGCACACACCCAAAGAGCGTTGTTTAATACTTACTTTATTTTACTTTTTCTTCCGTTTGTATCTCATTCATTTTTTTCTTCTGATTTTTACTCTTCCATATATACATGTATTATGATCTCACCGTGTAAAAGGCCCTATAATATTGGAGATGATCTGGCTCATATAAAGGTATTCAATCACAAAAATCCCTAAGAGTACATTTTAACGACAGGCAAATGACAAGAGAAAGAAATCAACATCAAAAGACTACACCGAGTATTATTAATCCGTGAATGAAAAGTGTTAGTGTGCATCCACTGGCCTTTTATTCCTCTCCGAAATGACGGCGCGCCCTCAATGTGACATTCAAGACGTCACAGGTAATGACCTCTAGTTTTATTTATAAACTCTTTGAGTTGTAGTCTTTTGTTTTGAAGCTCTCTTTCGTTTCTCAAGAAGAAGAATAGGAATAGCACCCCCTTGCGCATCAGCAGTTCCGCTTCGCTCAGTACGGAGTTTTCGGTTTATTCTATATTTTTAATGACCTCTCGCCTCTCGTTCTAAAGCCAAATTTACGGGCGATGTACACGATACGAGGAATTTTCTAGGGGTTTTGAATTTCTTACAGTTTTTTCAAGTGATACAAGTTAATTATGATCTAATTAGAAGAATGATGGCGGAAATGTTTTAGTTTTATGAAAAAATTGGCCTCTGTCTTGAATTTTTGGCCATGTTGCGGTGGCAGTCGTTTTCCACAGAAAAAATGGAATTTAAGCCTCAAACTTGACACACAAATACACAAACACACGAACTGAGATCATAGGCAAGGACTTTTTTCTAACATGAAAAATAAGAAAAATATCCATATATCACAGGGTGACTTCCGAAAAGTACGAGTACAATGACAAAAAATCAGGAATATTTCAAAAAGTAATTAATATTTCGAAAGAACATTGCCTACGATCACGGAACAGACCATACTGCATTTTTGTGCCAAATTTCACCTTTGTAGCTCAGATAGTTTCAGAAAAATGATTGCCACCTCGTGGTCACCTCCGTAAAAAAGTCATTTTGAGAAAAACGCAATAAAAGATTTGAAGCGTCAAAGTTCTAAAAGCATTGTTTATGAAGCAATGAATTTGATATTTTGTTTAAAGTTTGCCCATATATCTAATAATAATATATTAAATGGAATTGATCAGTTTATTGGTTAATTTCCTTCTGAAGCTGGCATTCAACGACAGACTCTCAAAACTACCTTCATAAAATGTCAGCTCTGCCCTTGACCAGTTACCAACAAATCAGTACAATCGTTGAGTAAAACGATCAGAAATTACACAAACACACACAAGTACAGACACAAAACAAAAAACAAACAAACACACACTTACATACACACACGCACTCACATAATTATTGAGTGTGTGTATGCGTGTGTATGTATGTATGTGTGTGTGTGTGTGTGTGTGTGTGTGTGTGTGTGTGTGTGTGTGTGTGTGCGTGCGCTTATGCGTGCACACGCGCGAATGTGTTTGTGTGAGTTTGTTACGTATCCTAATTCTGACGAAATTCAAACAAATGCTTATGTTTTAAAAAATGCAACTGACAGTAAAAAAATAATTTAGAAAAATGAGGACCATACTTGTGGATTTAGTTTGACAAAGTTACAGGAGAATCCCGGTATTTGTGACAGAAGTCCTGGGCGGTCAAAGAACGTGCTTGATGTGGCGGCAGTCACTAGAGACACAATCACTCTCTAGGCGTTGAAATTTGATTTATTACCTTCGGACACTGCAGAATTTGTCGAGCAACGTACTTCACGTTTTGCCTCAGTTCTCAATGGTTGGGGAAAGTCTGAACACACATCTGCACCACAGTTGGACGTCCAACGGGTTCAGGTTGGGATTGTATGAAGCTCGGCACAAGGTATACCGTGACTTCTGTTGAAGTGATTCTGGTTCCACTCGATGACTAGAGCGTACAGTGTGCTCCTTCTTGCTTGAACCACAGTCGTTTCCGCTCCTGAGGTCTCTCATAATCTTCGCAATGATCTTCAACACAGATAAAACATCTTCAGATAACGATCTACTGCCACTGTTGGTATATCATAGTCTTCACCCATGAAACTGTTCGGACCAATGAGTCCTACTGCAACCCACGCATTCTGTGTGTACAGGTTTCGGTCAACAACGTTGTCTGGTCTTTCTGAACTCCAGTGAATGTCATTTCATGTGTTCACGTCTCTGTTTCAAGTACAAATAGGCTTCACCACGGAACCTCTCTTTCCATGAATGAATTATCTCATTAGCATGATCTCCAAGAAACCACAGACACCGTTTGATCCGTTCCCTGGTGTGGGAACCGGAAATGACTCGGTATTAATATCGAGGTCGTGTATCAAAATTTTATGAACAGAAATTTTCGAAACATGGAAATCAACTCTCCGACGACGAACCTTGTCTTTTATCTTTCCTTTGTTAGACACAAATACACATGTCCAGCTTTTTAAAGTCTACATACTTTCCAAGGAGAGTGTTGTTTGAAGACAGACTGAAGCCCATCCTATTGTTGATTTTCGACGATGACATTTTTTGTATGAGGCAAAATTTTCACTTATAATCCTGTCGTGAGCCTCAAGATCTACGCTGATCCAGTAGCCCCTTCCCTTTACCTATCTAAAATTGATATCTTTCCATCTCTGACCGAGTTCCCCCTCCTTTGTCGTTACCTACCGTTACGTTTTGACCACACGAAATAAGATTCAGTCTGTCCCGCAAATTCAGGAGTAGAGACAATTGCTGCAATGGTCAGGGAAGAGTTCACAGTTCGATGTGATCCCTCTTGGAGCAAAGTTAGGTGGAGAGCTCAGATGCGAGTGCGGAGTATGGGGAAAACAAACGCGTTTGTCAGTTCCCACCTTGGTGTGATCCCGTCAAGGGCAAACATTTATAAACAGTGTACCGTTTTGTTGAGTTTTACAGCGCTTATGTGATCACATTCACGAGAGCGGATGATCTTTGACACCACGGGTAGTTCAATAATCTCAACTTTTCACTCTTGGTTGATCAGCTGTGCCCGCCCGGGTGTTTGTTCGGTAAATTATGATCTGAAATACGGGATCTTATCCGGATATGTAAATCTTCAGAGTGAATCAGTGCAGGATCTTAGAGGTGACTTTTTTAAAAGTAAAAATTATATTTTTCTTAAAACAACGGGGTCTTAGGCGAACCGGGATCGTACACGATGGGATCTTAGGCGGAGACTATATAATATATATTATAAAATGTAACCCGCATTTTTCAATTTACTTAATTTCAAGTTTGATGTCGATCGTGTAACAAATAACTGTCAAGAACGTTTGTTTGAATTTCGCTAGAGTTGAAACAACAGGTACAGTGTGTGTGTGTGTGTGTGTGTGTGTGTGTGTGTGTGTGTGTGTGTGTGTGTGTGTGTGTGTGTGTGTGTGTGTGTGTGCGTGTGTGTGATTTTATGTGTATGTATATATATATATATATATATATATTATATATATATGTATATATATTATATCAGTGTCTGTGGCGTAGCGGTCATGTGCTTTTCCGTCGTACGCAGAAGCCCCGACATACAGGGAGAGAGAGAGAGAGAGAGAGAGAGAGAGAGAGAGAGAGAGAGAGAGAGAGAGAGAGAGAGAGAGAGAGAGAGAGAGAGAGAGAGAGAGAGAGAAAGAGATGAGAGGAGAGCAAAAGAGAGTAAAGGTAATGGTAGAGAGAGGCAGAGGTTGAGAGAGAGACAGAGGGGGCGGAGTCAAGTATCATCCACCCTTTTCTCCTTTTCTACTCTCGTTCTCTAGAGCACTCGCTGTTGCTATAGAGCAACATTTGGTTAGGTTTAGCTGAGTATATTGATTATACTCTATTGATGAGATCAGAATTATGAAAAAAA